GATAGAAAAAATATTTGCGTATTAATTGCGAAACGTTTAATAAACAAAAGCAAAATAAAAGCTGACTTTAAAGTTATATTTTTTCAAGCAATGTCGCTGGGTGAGGGTTTTGAAGAAAAATTAAGTTAGCCACGCATGCGTCGTCAATAACAGGAAAATTATCAAACTTTGTAGATGATTTATGGCTATGCCCGTCAAGTGCCCAAATATTTTACGTTTCCCGCAAAAAAAAAACACAACTCTAGGTTTACAATAGTAGTAATTTGTACTTGGTATAAGGTGCCAAACTTATGAAAATTGCTATTTAATTTGTCTTAAAATGTGTGACTTTGCAAACTAGTAAAAGTGTATCTTTTTCAGAAAAATATTTTTCTTCATATCCTGGATAGATGTCCCTGATTTTTGGTCGTAAGGAACAATGCTTAAGCACTGATTGTTATTTTAACACATAATACTCTCACTTATCTGCCTGCTTCGCGAGAGTCTGCTATTTACGGCAGTTTCAGGCCGCCATTTTGGACCCATCAAGGCGTCAAATAACGATGGGCCACATTTTACAAAAAAACCTTTTTACAGTCGTGCCAATAGAAGCGCTTCGAAAAATGCTGACCAGTTCATTTCTTAACTTCGAGGAGTACCTCTGAACAATTCCTCAACAATTTGATAAGTTCCTTAAAAATTTCCTAACTTCCTGTTTCATGACCAATCAGATTGCTCAAAAATAAAATATAAAATTTGATTGGACAATGAAACCGGAAGTTAGGAACTTTTTAAGGAATTTATCGAATTGTTGAGGAATTGTTGAGAGAAGCTCCTCGAAGTTAGGAAATGAACTGGTCCACATTTTTCGGAACGCTTCTATTGGCACGACTGTAACTCAAACCGATTTCTTTTTTAAAACAATTACCTGAAAGGAAAATTATTGTGAAAAATTTGAAGACTTTCATATTTTCTTCCATAACTGGGTGCCCTGTTCTTACAGAGACAGCCTCTTAAAAGTTAAAACCAACCAACAATTTTAAAATAATATAAAACAAAACAAAGTACAAAAAAGGATTCTAAACGCAAGATTTGAGATTAATAATATGAGAATAAGTTTGAAAAATATATAAAGAACAACTTGCTTAGAATTACAAACTAGTATAAATACTGTACGTAATCTTACATAAACTAGCATTCATAAATGTATTTCCTGTTTATAGCGGTAGTTTTTGACATAATGTATTTAAGCATTTCCATCGAAATGGCAACTGACAAATCAAGCTAGAATTTAAGAGAAAGTTAAAAAAATAAAAGTTTCATGAATCTTACCTGCATGAAACAACAACAACAACAACGACAACGACAACGACAACGACAATGACAACGACAGGAACGACAGGAACGACAGGAACAACAGGAACAGGAACAAAAAACCAACATTTCCTAACATTTCTAAGAATGTAGAGGATTCTTGGAACTCATGGAAAGATTAATTTATAAAGTTTACTTCATTTAAAATTTTCATCTAGCTGTTTTACTAGTTCTCCATGTTTGGCTTTTTTCCATTTAAAGGACATTGGCAATCAAAATTTTTATTACATATATCTATTAGGTATACTTACGGAATATTTAATTTCATATTTTTGCCGGTTTGTCGCATTTAGTTGTTGAGAAAATTTAATAAATGTTCAACAGTTGTCCGCCATTTTGAAAATAAACGTGTATGCTAATTTATGCCACAACATACATTATCTGACGTCATTAGATGGGTAAACACCAATTTTACTACAAACAATACCGAGTATTTTAAAAAATACAAAACAAGTATTACCACGAGTAGTGCACTTTGAGCCAAAATAAAACGCAGAAAAGTTTTACCAAGTATATAATCTGTTTGAAACAATATTTCTCATAGTATATATCCTACTCCGTGTTAAATAAACGCAGAAATTCGAGTGTAACAAGACAAATACTCAGTGGTGCCTAAATTACTTTGAATTTGTACTCGAATAAAAGTAGAAGAAATTAACAATAAAACGACTTGAGTAAGAGTAAAAAGTACTGGAAACAAAACGTACTTAAGTAAAACGTACAAAGTATCCTTAAAAAATACTTGAAGTACAAAGTAAAAGTAAAAGTACTATTGTCTATAGCGTGTAGGGGGCTGGGGGACTTCTCCAATGGATTGATATACAAAAGACACAAAACAGCAAACACACTATATGCGTGCACCATAATATACAATATTTCACGGCATGGTCTACTTTCCAGACCCCGTTGAAGATATAAGAAATCCATTAAATAAAATAATGCTTATATGTAGAGGTCCTATTACCTATCCTAAAGTTAAAATAAATCAGGACTAAATCACGTAAAATTAAACAAATGTGAGAAAGTAACGAAATACTTCGCCCCAAAATGAAAATAACGAAGTAAAACGTTACTTCTTAAAACGACTTCGTTCCAATTAAAAGTATTCCAGAAAAAGTTTACTTTGTTACATGCTCACTTCCCAAAAATAGTACTCAAGTACAGTAACGAAGTACATTTACTTCGTTACTTGACACCACTGCTAATACTAATGCAATATTTTATAATCAATTACCTTTATTGTAAATTGTGCTATTCCTTGCTTTCCCAGTCGCTCGATATGTTTTTATCTGATCGCGTAGACTTCTTTTGTTTGATTGCGAAGAGTGTTGGCCAGTATAACGCTCAAAACGACATATTTGCTGCCGCAGGCAACTTCCTATTCTTGTGATTTGTTCCCAGACCTATTTAGATTTAGCAATGTTTGGATGTTCAGTTTTATGACGTTTTGTGACGTAGAAGATATTCGACGGGTCTTTACGGAAGCTACCGACTGCTCTTCGGGACTTGCCAAGATTTAGCACGAGGGCGAAACTTACAAGTTGGCAAGTATTTATCAAATATTGCGATTTTTAAGAATTATATCTTCTTGTAAAGTCATTTTTTAAGGTAAGATCAAAGTATTGTCTACGATCCTTTTAGTTTAAGAAGAATTTTCAGGAGATTTGACGATTTGTTCTTCTATTATATAGGCTCGCGTTTGATTTTGTAAATCTGACAGTGCATATTTGGTGTTGGGAATCATTGTGTTCACACTTGTAGCTGATCAATATATTGATCAGACACTTTGCGTGTTGGTTTCGGTGTGGCAACAGGCAACTCAAATAAAATTTACATCAATTGTAAACAAACAAACAGAAACAAACGGGAGCCAATTGCCATCAAAACAAACGAGAGCCATTGTACGAAGGTATCACGTGACTCAGAGGTACAGTATATCATACATAAAACTGCAAATTTTACAGACCTCTATTTAATACTGCTGCTGATAGATCAAGTCGCAGTGATAGAATATATTGCATTTGGTTAAAAGGGGGTAACAATTGAGCAATATTGTGCCTGAATTGGTGCACATTTTAATACAATAGTTATAGTGTGAGAAGCAATGATCTATTTTGGCATCAGACGTTCTTTTCTCGATCATGTAAATGTGTTGTTGTGAGCCCCTGTATATACCCCCCCCCCCTATGTACACTGTATAAGCCCATCAACAAACGCTTACGAACTTATATAAGCCCAGGGCTTATAATCGGAGGTTACGGTATTTGGTTTGTTTACAATATTTGGTAATTTGTCCACACGGTTTAAGTGTTTGACAATTGACATTTGAAATAAATGGGATATTAACTCTAAAACATTGCATTTACTGTTTTACTTGGCCAAACAATCTACTAAAATTACATGTCAGTAGTTAAATCTACTTGTTATTAGAATGAGTAATAACCCACAAGTACCCCTTCGTACCCCTATGAACCAAGCATAGTGCGTGCGAGAGAGAGCCTATGGCTAGTAGGCTGGCCAAATATATAACTTTTTATTTGTAGAGTATTGCAAAGTTATTTCATTACAACTACTCAGATACCTCCTACAACCCATCACTATATATTAGTACTATATTCAGAACAATTAACAAATTTGGTTGTGGATTACCTGCAAAGCATTGCAGCTGAAATTTGGTTGTGGATTACCTGCAAAGCATTGCAGCTGCCACATGATTCGTCATCAAAATGCTGACGCAATTGTTCTACCGAGTGCACTTATGGAGTCCGCCATTTTGAATATTATCAGGGGGTGAATGCTTCTTAGCGCACTGGCTAGTACTGATGTTGAGACGCGATTGGTAACCAGGCCTTCATGTCAAACATAAGGTAATCAAGGCGCCAACTTTTTCGCAAGTTTGCAATGCGAATACACGTACGGCAGCAATTTTACTAACTTTTTGTTATACTAGTTTTAACAAACAACACGCACGCAATAGAATTCTCTCTTGTAGTTTTGGTGCTACCCATCTAATGACGTCACAAAGTTCGAGATAATTTTTCAAAAATATTTTCCAAGATGGCGGCGAAACACAAAGTTTGCATGCATTTTACTCGTAGACTAAAATGTTCGAGAAGGAATTGATAATATTTTCATAGTTACGTCGTCAAGTAGGATTGAAATAGCAAAAAAAAATAAGTAAATAAATAAAGAGAACAACGATGTTTGTCTCATGTTTGTTTCTCTCGATGTTTGTCTCATAGCCAACAGTGAGCGCGTCACATAAAGAGAGCCATTTGATAATGATAACAACAAATCCGGGCGATACTTGTCACCAGTTATTATTGACGGAATTTTAATTCCAGGCACATCAGCGTAGAGGAAAGAATCATTCACAGTTTGCAAGGTATTGGCAAGAAAATTCAGGATTGAATTGTGCCTCCACGTAAATCGATCGAGATAACACTGATATCCAGCGACCACGTGCAGTAATGAAAGACCACACTTTGTTAAGATGCGACAAGGAGAACTTTGTTACATTAGAGAAAAAGGATCCCTGACAAGTTAATTGGTTTTGGAGATTATTTTCATGTTCAGGGTGAAAATCTTTAAATTAAGCAATTCATTGGTTGAGTTATAAAATTCGTATTGGATATTAGTATAAGTATTCACAGTTCGTTAATTGATTGATTAGGAGAAAGTTTTATAGCTTTTCGAAGAACTGTTTGGCATTGGATAAATTTCACCAATGGAGGATAAATACTTTTACCACATTTGTTACAAGTTAGAAAAACAGTATTTAGTGCCCCTGAGATTGGAATTTCAAGCCATTTACGGATGTATTGGTTGACTGCGGGATCAATATTTTCAATAACCCATGTTTTAGAAAGTGTTGCGATGGTGAAATGCCAGGATATTTTGGATAAGACATAACGACTGTACACGAGAAGCTTATTTCTTGGGTGGAGTGGCTTCGAGTCAATATCAGTCATTAGTTCATTAATAACGAGAGTGGTTAATTCAGTCTTGTGGTTATTATTCGACATGTTAAAATCAAAGTAACGTCCTAAATATTGAAATGCTTCCCCAATCTTTATTGTTGGTATCACATTATTGTTGATGAGGAGTTTCGGCAAATTATATTGGACTGATTTTGTGATGGCTTTCTTGATGCCAAAGGTACTACATTTATCAACTCTGATAATCATATTGGACCATTGGCACCAGATGGAAAACGATTTAAAAGATGCTGGTTTTCAGATTCTTGGCCAGTGATTACGGTTGCGTCATCAGCGAACTGGAACCAATGGATAGGATTTAACAGCTTGAAGGAGAAACCAAACGGACGGTACTTTTCAGCTTTGATATGTTGGATGAAAGTATTGAAGCACATATCGAAAAGAAGAGAACTGATGCAATCTCCTTGCAATACGCCACGGCCAACAGATATAAAAGGGGTGCGGAATTCGGAGGTAATTATTGAGGTTTGGAAATCAGTATATAAACTTTTTATAACGAATTTTATGTGATCAGGGATGTGATGGTGGTAGTCGAGTACTGATTGGATGAGATTGTGATGGACTTCGCCGAAAGCATTCTTCAGAGCAAGTAAGGTGATGAAAACAAAGCGTTGTCTGATCCGGGCTTTGTTAATGTCAGCCATTTGCACAGTGTGTTCTACAATGCCGGATAGGTTAGGGGTGAAGCCCTTTTGTATGCCGTGTTCGATAAAGTTATTGGATATAATGGGGCCGGTTTGCCGGGAAGAGACGTTAGCCGGGCTGAAAGTTAAGAATCGAAATTTGGCGGAGAAACGTACTAACGCGAAAGGTTTGTCACGAACGGCCACTTTATGCTTTATTGGACAATTTTTTATTAAAAACAACTTTATCAACAATATTGACGTAGGAAATAACATATTATGCAGAAAATATTCATTTCTACAATAGTTTTTGTGTTAAATGAGGTTTCTACAGGGTGTCTAAAAAAAAAGACTATGGAAATTCAACAGGCTGTTGTGCATCATAAACTTAACTAAACAATTCAATCAGTTTTTACATAGGACGAAAGAGCTGTTATTTAGCTTTTCTATGATACCTTTCTTAAACCGTAACGATGAGAAATGGCCACATACTCATCAAATAAAAATTTTCGGTCGAAATCACATTCTTCCACCGTTGGAAATTGAAAAACATTAATTATGCAAAGTTAATCAATTCAAAAGCACCGCGAGTCTGCTGCAAGGTAATTATTTCGTAAAACGTTTTGATTACGAATGTTCTCTGTTCGGGGGTTAATTGAACCATGTTTTATGCAATAATGGGCGTTCTTATGGTCTCACTAAGACGAAGATTGACGAGTTGAGCTTATTTTAGATAATTTAACATTCAATTTTAATTCCCTCTTGGGAATTGTTTATGTTTCGTTTTCCATGCAATTCCCAACGGTGAAAGAATGTGATTTCGACTGGCAATTTTTAATTGACAAGTATGTGGCCATTTCTCATCGTTACGATTTAAAAAGAGTATCATTGAAAAGCTAAATAACTGTTCTTTCGTCCTATGCAAAAATTGAATTGTTTAGCCACGCTTTTGATACACGACAGCCTGTTGAATTTCCATAGCGTTTTTTTTTAGACACCCTGTATATGCTAGCCTGGCTACCCGGGCTGATGATTTTACACGGACAAATTTCATCGCGGTTGATCGGGCGCCCCGTTTGAGTCAAGAGAGATCCCACCTAAACGGGCTAGCCCGGTTTCTACATGTAAAGTAGAATTGTTTTTAATAAGAATTTACTACGAAGCCAGGTGCCTCGTTTAAACGGGCCAGCCTGGCAAACCGGGCTCATGTAAACAGTCCCTAAGAAAGGAAAGGAAAAGCAATGCCCAGATTAGACTCGACCACTCCGAGATTCGACGCTTTCTTGGCATTCAATGCAAATGAAAGTTTTTTCCAATGCGTGTATACAGATTGTAAACAAGTAATTAAAGTAGACAACACAGGATATGTAAATATAAATACTACTATATAATTGAGTATTAAAAATTCAGGAAATTATAATTTTTATTTACGTAATAATGGTAACATTTATTATCACGATTTTGAGCTAAATCGATGACATTCAGCTATAAGTGGCTGTTTATTTGGAGCTGGGCTGGCCCGCTGAGCGAGACAGTCTAGTAAGTGAGATGAATTTTAATTTGTTTGCCTGTATATATGAGAATTTCCATCGCCAACTATTCCGGTCATGTGTAAATCATTTGGTACAGCGGTACCAATAGTGATAGATAAAAGGCTTTTTTTTGTTTTCCCCGCTTAAATGATTTGAAAAGTTGAAAATAATACATTTTTAACGATTTGAATATTTAATCCTTACAAATATTGTCATATTGACAAGTTGCGGCTGGCTTTGCCAGAATATAAAAGAATACGTTCTGGCATTGAGAAACTCCTTGGAGATATGCGCACTCTGAATAAACATCAAATATCATTATCACATCATTTTGGTAGCAAACTTAGCTAGGCCTACATACCATTTTGTTTTACACACACACGAGTATACAACCTACCACACAGATTATGGCGCACAACTTTTCGACTATGAGTATAAAATCAGCAGTTTGGAAGGCAAAACGAAAACTTTATTTTATAGCCTCGAGCTAGCACAAATTTTTGTCCACTGATGAAATATGAGATTCAACTTACACCTACCACTCCGGCAAATTGCAGATAACAATTGCAGAAATTCTGCTACGGATCTTTAAAGTTTGACAATATGAAAGTTTTTTGGCTTTGTTATATATAAATTGTATTACTTGGATAGCCTCTTTATTTACACGGTGAAACGTGAAACGAAAGGTAAATTTAGGTTTTCGAAGTCTGATTCTATAGAACTGTCAAAAGTTAACAGCAAGAGTGTCTTTCACTTCGGCAATTGAAAATTATTGTTTGGTTTCTGCAATTTCTGCCTTTCTTTACTTGTCTGCAATGCGTTTCATAATAAGTTGTTTTCCATTTATACTTGGCAATTGGAGAACCCGCTAACGCAATTGTGGGCTCAATGACCGAAATAGTTGGCAATGATCCCGCTTGTCTGCGGAATAGAAATCTTTTACAATGCACTTACATAGCTATCTGCGGCAAAGTTAAATTTCAATATAAATACCTGTACTTGCTTTGAAACTCCCTATTTATAATATTACAGCTGTTGAAGTAATTTGCTTTCTTTTGTTCTGTCCTTTCTCCCTATCCAATGCTCAAGACTATAGAAATAAACGCTGAAAATACCTAAAATTATCTTTAAAACGTTCATACCGGCAAGCGGGCTACCCTGGGAACTTTTCCATTTTGCTTGACGAGATCTCGTCTCTTTCAAGCGAAATCTCGCCAAGCGACCCGACCAGCCCGGAATGTTTTACAATAAACTCTACTACACGGCTATATAAGCTATTCTGTTTCGCTTAGCGGGCAAGCCCGCTTTTCATATAAAAGCCCTTAAAGGCAATTTTAACAGGTTTCATGACCAATACTTATATCTGAACGCGTGCATATTCTCACCACTGTTAGTTAAGATGGGTTTAAAAATGTTAAAACACGAACCCTTGTACGAGGTTAAAAAAGAATTACTTCTTTCTTTAAATGCACTATACTGCAAATACTATAGGTACCAAACACCAGCCGTTGTAAGTGATAAAAATTCTTGGAGGAAATTATACTACTTGTTTGCAATTCAAAAATCATATGATATAAACTCTACAGCATTGATTTTTTAATCCGAGGAGATTGGCTATGCACGCCGTCTATATCACTATTGGTATAAATTTCTGTTAATAAAAATTGTTTAATAAATACAGCTATTCTTAAAAATGTTGTCTTTTGTAAACCTAAATCTCTAAACCCTAAACTTTAAACTCCAAGCACGTAAAGCTATAGGAGCAAAGGCTTCAAGCCCAGAAATTAAATATTGTAACTATTTGTAAATGAATTATTCTCGCAAGTAGTCATTTACTATTGCCCTAAGAAATAGGTCCCATGTATAATTTCTAAACTGATGAAATGATGCTTCCATTAATATGCTTTGCATGTTTAGGGTTTATAAAGTTTAAGGTTTACAGTTTAAGCTTTGCAAAGCACAACCTTTTATGAATTATAGCTGTAATCAGTCATGATAATTTATAGTAGCTGCTAAATATACGGTACCTCTGATCCCATTTTTATGCTCAAATATAACAAATTAATCATTTACTTGAATCATTTCAAGAGTAAACAGCTTTTGTCCAGAGTAACAATGTTATTGATTAGTCAGTTGTGGCTGCATTTGAACAGATGTTTCAATGCCAAGTGGCGCCATCACTTTGAAGTTACATCGGTGGCGTAACCTTGCTTTAGGTGACCTTGTCAATCGTTGGGCAGCACACCTCTTTCGGCAATAAACTACAGTACAACTTTGCCCTTAAAAAGAGAGGATCATGAAAAATAGAATAAAAGTGGGGGTGAAAAAATATTGATATAGTCACAGAGATATTTTAAAATATAATGAACATACGCGGGCAAAATAATTCATTATCAACAAAAAATATTACAACATAATATTTTCTATGATTTTCATGTATATATAGTAAAAATGGTTTTACAAAAATTGCCAGCTACAGTAAATGAGTAATGGCTAATGTATGGTACATATTGTATAAGGTACAGTGAATAATTTATTTCCTATACTCTGTTTTGACTTGAAAAATTAGGCAACTTTATTTACCTCTTTCATGGCTATGATTTGTTCAGAGTTTGTCCCTACAGTGGTGTGACATCTTTTCTATTTAGGAGGGGTTTGGTTGATATAGTCAGCCTATTTAAATAAATTTTTCTAGCTACTTCCATGCTGATTGCAATTATCCAAATGCTTGAAACTGAAAGAATCGCTTGGGGTCACAAATATTTGAGTTGCAAATAACAAAACAACGATGTCAATGTAACATTATATCGGTATTTGCTTCATTTATGTTTAATGATTTCCAATCTGCATGCTGTCAATATCTAACAAAGAAGATGTCAACTGTGTTTATATCATGGCATTTCAGCTGAACATTTTGTGCAAACAATTTATATTGATTAAAATAACTTAAACTATAAAGGAAGGCGACTGACCTAAGACTGAACATTGCGAACAATTGCACGAAAATGAAGGTCTTCATAATTTGTCTGATCATCGCCATTTCAGGCTTCGCCAAGTCAGAAATTTACGAAAATGGTAAGTAGAATACAGCGATTTTATAATGATTTTAAAATAATCTGTTTAGTATAAACTGTTTTGTGTTGGCATATAGTTTTAGAGTGTTTTTGCCATTGTTATAGCTATATAAATGCAATCCATAACTTGGTACAATGGTACATTCATGTTCAAAAATTATATTTAGTGTTAATGTCAATTCATTGCAAAATCAGTATCCTTTACCATAGAAAATTTTGACGAAAGTTCGGAGGACAACTCAGTTTTTGACAAGATCCTGGCTATTAACGAAAAATCAGGTAAGTATGAATAACTTGCGAAAGAAAGACCATTTTCACCACAATGTAGGGTTTACGTCAGTGCTATCCTGCAATAGTTTTTCCGACCAATTTTATTTATTTGAAAATTTTCTGAATTTTCCCTCCATTTAACCGACGAACTTCTCCATACAAGGGCGCAAATCTTGAAGGGGGGGGGGACGGAGGGGACATGTCCCCCACTTTGTTGGCAGAGAGGGATGAATATTGTGTTATCCCTTCCCCACTTTTTAACAGTCAATTCTCCCACGATTTATCAAGTGTAGTGTCCTTTATTTGCTGGAAACTTTGTGTGTAAATCTAAATGGAGTAATGCGTTTCACAATTACAATGCATTTACATCCTCGTATCAGCAGTAATGTTTATTAAAACTGTTCCTGCTAAATTACTGTAATAAATTATGTTTTCTGGTATAAAAATTCATAAAATCATAAAACGTCATGAAAATTATCGCTGCCCCGGACTATCCCTCCCACTTTTCAAGACAGATTTGCGCCCGTGTCTCCATAGAAGTGTGTGTCTCGAGGGTACCATTGCCCTCCTTGTCATCATCGTGGTTAACTCGTATCATAACACCTTAGATGTACTTGTCTTCCGCGTTTTACTCTGTATGGTTTTATTATGAATGCAACGCCCGAATTGCCCTCACAGGAAGGAAAAGACAGTACTTTCATGAGCATAAATTCCTTTTTACTCCTAATTGGAGTTCTAAACTGGCAAGTTAAACTGTAAAACCCTAGAGTTTCCTTGCATCAAAGATTGAAATAAGGTGAATGCGATACTTAGCAATACGATTCGTTGTTTTGACAAGCGTTTAATATAACAAAAAATTTTCAGCTAGATCACGTTCAGGACATAAAGCCAAATATTTTGAGGGAGACATTGTGATCACCAAATCGGTAGAAGAAATGATTGAAAATCGCAAACGCGGTGCAGCATCAAATAATAAGTGGCATATTTGGCCAATCAAGAATGGCAGACACGAAATACCTTATCAAATTGGCGGAGGTAAGTTAACATCAAAATCTAAATGAATAATTTAGTCAGGGTCAAGCCCATCAGAGTAGATACGCTAGAAAAAAGTTATCAATTTATGTTTCGGTAACCAAGGTAATTGGGGTTAGTGTTAGGCGTACGGTTTAAGATTAATTATCAGGGTTTGGGATAGAATGTGATAGAATCAAACTAGTGAGCAAAACATAAATTGATTACCAAAACAAATGTTATCGACCAAGCATCGAAATGGCTTCTTGTTGTACTTGATGCTGCCTATACTTTTACTAATAATTATTTGGTGAAAAATTCCATAGTTTTATTGTTCTATAGTAATAAAGCTGTTCCTAAAGTTTGTCCTGCTATACAAACTTAAAAATTTATTTCGATGCAATGATTTATAAAACATTGTTTTTCCGTCAAATGTCGACTGTAGAAAATTATTATCTTTTTTATTTTTTATAATATTGGTATTAACATTTTATTTAATTGATTGATTTTGAAGATTGCCCAAAGTCGTCTTAAATCACCCAAAATCTTCCTAAAAATTCCAAACAGGCCTTTAAACGCCTTTAATATCTCAAAGATGGGTTAAAGCGCTCAAAGTTGCCAGTTTTTATAAATACAATACCAACTATATGATAAAGTAGCATGGTAAAGGGTTTAACTCTTTCAGTGTATGGCGGTTTAAACTTTCCGGCCTGGACTATTTTGAAAAAATAAGGGGCTATTTTGAAAAAGCAAAATGCCAGAGGTATATCGGCCTATAATAGTAGTGGTATTGGGAGTCGTTTTGATTCCTGTCACGGAAGGCCGCTTTTAGTTTACTTTCACGCGGACGTTTTAATATGATTCTACTCATTTGTTTATTTATTTTCAGACTTATACCATCCTCCCTTGTCACCATTCAATATTTTGCCTTAATTATTCAATATCATCATAAAGCTGCAAAAGTTCTACACAACAGGTCCATTTATACGGGGCAAAATAAGTCGCGTCTTACATAAGGCGCGTCTAATAATATAAGCGGAGTTATCGTATGAATTGTTCTCTACGGGTTGTTCTCTTTGGTTGTTTTTGTTTTAAGGTTACAGGACACCCTTTTGGGGGTTTTGCGGAAAATCGCTATTGCGCGCTCAATATCAGTCCGATTTTCATCAAATTTTCACCAAATGTTCTCCAGTGCATCCAAAATATGGTAAAGTTGTAAAATTAACAAACAATAAAATAATGTAAGAATTATTCAGGCCGAAAATCTTAAATCGCGGTAGCGTTACGCTTTTGAGTTGTGCTCCTGCTGGTTTTAAGTTATATTTATGAAAATATCATTTTTACACAGTAAAATAGTTGTTCTAAAAAATTGTGTTCGGAAATTTTTGTTTATTTCGTCATTCCGCTGATATGGCGATTTCTTTGACGACTGCAATATATTTCTGAATTGTTTGAGTGAATTGCTCTTTATTTTTAAAATATCCAAAATTAAACAAATGCCGAACACAATTTTGAAACTGGCGTATTTAGCTACAGTATGTCCTTTGAAAATTTGAGAAAAATTGGTTAAAACCCGCAGGAGCACAACTCGTTTGAAAATCAGTAATTATACCGTAAAATTTTTCGGGAGAAAATTGAATTTGAATATTACATTTTCAATGTTTTTCTTATTCCAGCGAAATGTATTTTACTAAATAACTCTGCGAGTTTTCAACATTTTTCGTTCAAACTTGGTCAGATAGTAGAACTAGTCTAATGCTTTCATTGAAACCAATAAAAAAATTTTAGGCAAAATTAACACTCAAAGGTGTTCTGTAACCTTAATAAGCAAGGCTAAAAATTTTACGTTGTTTCAAGTTTCGGGCATGTGTAGCTAGACCTTCTATCCAAAATGTCTAATTCACCCTAATTCCCGACGAAGGGCCTTTGTTCGAAACGTCGAATCTTAATATCTTATTAAAACGTTTAGGTAGTGAGTATTTTCCTGCTTGTTGATGTTGTTATCCGCTACCTATGCACTGGTCACATATTTAAGTTCAATATCATCAATGAATGTTCGCAAGTGATGCAAGTGTTAGTAATGCGGCAAATTCCAAAATGTCATAAACTCTAAATTAGGTTATTACAAATGAGCTGAATGTGCAAAAACTGAGTTTATGGCAATTGGGTCTCGGCAAAGAATGGCAAGTATAAGTATCAATTAGAGAGCTAGAAATTAAAGTCAATGATTGTGAGATCAATTATTATAGCGTTGCTTCAGTTAGGCTTTTAGGGGTTATATTGACCAATATCTTACCTATGGCAGTTCATATTGACAAATTATCAGTCTAAAGAAATTTCTTTCGGTATCGGCGCTCAAAACGTATAAGACTGATTATACCAACAGACACAGCGGTCCAAATCGGTCGAGACAGACAAGACAAGACAAGACAAGACAAGACAAGCGGTCCAAATCTATCGAGCATTGATTCAAGCTGACTATTGTTGCTCTGTCTGGGATGGTCTTGGTGAAATATTCAGTTGTAAATTGCAATAACTCGAGAACCGAGCGGCAAGGGTCATCTTGAGGACAAATTATGATGCCAGTGCGGGCCTTGTGCGGGCACTTTGTGATTTGGATAATCTCTCCTTACGACGGAAAAAAACACAAAGCTAAATTTGTTTTTAAGACAATCCATGTGGATATTCTGAAATGAAATTAATGGTCCTGAGATCGGTCGATCATGTGATCTCAAAATACCCAGATTTCGTGGGCATTTTGAATCTGCATAACATGCTTTAATAATTTTCAAAATGGCGACGTTACGGCGAGTTTTAAATGTGATACGGCAGATGGGGATTGCATTTGATAATGCAAATTCCCACCCTTAAATTTAAAGCAACTTCAAACAAAGTGCTTGCAGTACAGTATAATTATTATGAATTTGCGAACATTTTGTATAAATTAATAAATTCATGTAACCAATAAGAGCCAAGAAACGGCCCGGCCGATCCCAGGGCCGTTTCCCGCCTCTTCCCAAGCCAAGGGAAATGCCCTGGGGGCGAGGTTGTGAACAAATCACTTAAAACGAAACTCTTATTATAGTGGAGCATGCAGTATTGTGGAATACTCTCCCCCAAAATATACGAAGGTCTAAATTGTTTTCTCAGTTCAAGCAAGCAGTAAATGAGTATTTACAAACCTAAACCTACTTGCACACGGCAATCTTGTAAGCCAGTAAGAAAATTTATTATATACATGACAAAATTACTGCAATCTGATTGGTTAAGAGGAGTGCAATTATTTCATTAATTATTTATCTTCTGTAATCAGTGGCAAATACTGCAATTTCATTGGTTTACAGGAGTGCGATTTGAGCATTAATCGCAACTTTTCCGAGCTGTAATCGCACTCTTGTCTACAGCCAATGAAAATCAGTCTAGTATTTACAACTAGCCAATCAGCATTCAGGATACAAACTTTGAATTTTATTTTCTTTATTGCTGTAAAAAAATTCAAAATGGAGGAATTCACAAATTTTGACCTTTTAATTTTAAATCAGCCCTCGAAAACCGTCAAAATTGAGGTCGGAAAAAAAATGCCGACCTAACCTGACCTAGCTCGGTGCATCTCGGCATTTTTTAAAATCTGTTTCCATGTCTTGGAGCACTAGTAGCCTGCACTAGTAATCACGTATTTACGAATCATTGAAAAGTATAAATGTCACGAAGCCTTTTCTTTTCGAAGTGGCTATTCGTACTGGAATATGGCACCTGATTCTTACATTACGTAAACTAGCAATATAAAATAGTTTTTTGCAACAGATTTTAGCGAGCTTGACGCTAACGTATTCGGCAAAGGCGTTGCGTGCGTGCGAAGTGAAACGAGGTCGGGTCCGTGTTTAGTTTTAGCCGTCGGTTTTCTGTTGACTTAGAAATTTTTCTTAAAAAATTTTTTCCCGACTTTTTTAACTCTCAAATTAATAGTTTATTAGACTTTATTGGTTAGGGTTAGAGAAGGGGTTGGGGTTGGGGTCAGGTTTATCTTAAATATTACGACTGC